ACTCAATTTCTTAAGAGAACAGCAATTTGTCAAAAACAATTTGAAAAACAATATGGAGCATATATCTGTGATTCAGAAATAGAGGAGGGAGGGAATCTGTGGAAAGGAGGTATCATTTGGGATACACTCCCGTTAGGCAGAATGAACATATCTACTATAAGGCTTCCATATTCACCAAAATCTTCCCTCATATAATCTGTATTTTAAAATTTTCTGACACTGCCTGAAATTGCACAGATAAGAATCTTTTGACTATCTAAGATATCCATTTAAAAACAGAGGCATCATTGAGAATTCATTAATGGCAGTTGATTTGATGAGATACCTGTCATTCTAACCCCACCTGAACTTGGCTTTACGGAGGGAATGGATGATGGGTCATGGGCAAGGGGAGCTCAGGTGTATTGAAGCATGGAGAATTGCAGAATGTAGGGAGATCTGAGTGAGGCAGCACCCTAGGAGATTTCTGACAACACTAGAATATTGGAAACTAGGAGACTGGGATAAGGACCCGAAGAGGTGGGAGAGGGCCAGAAAAGAATGTGGGAAGATATTCAAAGTTAAGAGTCACCCATTTCAAAATGTCCCCGAAGAGCAGCCTCCGCTGAGAAATTGAGACAGAAATTCTCATTTCATCTTTCTGCATCTCTTAAGCTTAAGATCAGAGAATTCTTATTCCCTAAATTCAACCTGATATCATTATTGCTGTGTGATCTAAATTGGCTTTTTTTTTTTTTTTTTTTTTTTTGGCTGGGCTGGGAACCACTGTTTCTGTGGGAAAATGTGCCCAACTTTCAAATAACTGAAACATAACTTGTTATATGCCAGCCAGGAACTCCTTAGGTATATAAATCTTTGTACAATGAGCTATGTTATAATGGAAATATTTTCACAGATATAATTCTTAATCTATAGCCCATATCAGTCATTAAAACATACTGTTCAGTCCTTGGCCCCATAAGGGTAGGATGTTATGGAGAAGTTGGAAAGGAGCCAGGGGAGACAAAGTAAATGATGAAAGCTTTTGAAAAATAGCCCTTCAGGGAAAAGTCTACATTAGTTCAGAGAAGAGAGGTGTGAGTAGACTGAATATCAGTCTCTTCAAATTATAGAGGGTTGTTACATTATTGACACCAAGTCTTTCTTCTCTGTTGCCATAGAGGGAGATATGAGAGAAAATGAGCCTCAGCTACAGTGGAAGGGATGTAGTCTGGTCAGATGTCCCCAACATGAAGGTTAGAATCCAGTCTCAAGTTACTAAGCTTCATTCTCACAAGGGAAGAAGTCACTCAATGGCAGGCCAACTTCACCCAGACCTGGTCACCTGTCCAGGTGGTTTGCATACAGTATTATGTAGGAAACTGATAAGTTCTGTCCAAATACAGAAAATGCTTCGAGGCTACAAAGAGAGTAAAGCAAGGCTAGTGGGAAAGTCCAGACGAGGGAGATCGTAGCCTTCCATCCATCCGTCATTTGACATTGTTGGACAAGGCTGATCCAGACGGCCCTTGGAGTTAGAGCGTGCACTGGGAGGGCGGCGACAGCCCCTCCGCACTGTGGGTAGATGGGCCACCTCTCAGGGTGGAGGCCATTTTTGCCATCGGTGTGTTTTCAGGGGCTGTTGAAATGCCTCCAGAAGAGAGCAACTGGGACAGAAACTGAAAGCTGGGTCAAATGAGGAACAGTAGAGGGAACCACGTGTGTTGGTCTGGAGAAGATAAGCTCGGGCTGAGGAGGACAAGAAGTCATTTTCAAATATTTGAGGTGCTGTCAGGTGCAAGAGAGATTGGAATTGTGCCGTGCAGCTCCAGAGGGAAACGCAGAGCCAGTGGTACAGGTCTCAGTGATGGAGTGTCAGCTGAGAAGAAGGAAGCGTTTTATAATAATTAGAGATAGTCAAAGAGGACTGAGGCGCCTCGGGATGCAGGAAGTGTTTGTGTAAAGACTGGTTGAGTATCTCACAAGAACGTTGATAGAAGAATTTCTGGATCTTTTTTTTTTTCTTTTTTCCCTAAGTCTCGCTAATCAAGAGAAACTTCTTGGAGAATGAGCTGACTTGGCAATAAGCATTTTCCTCCTGGTTCTCAGAAAAGGTGGGCTTCGCAGTCTGAACCACTAGAGGGCGTCAGGACAGCAGCATTCCAGAGCCGCCGTCCCGGCACTTTAAACAGCAACTGATACCAACTGAAACCTGGCTCTTGCCTCCCTAATTCTGTCTTCTGTGTCTCCGCCATGAATCTTTCAGGAACGCTTACATCTGATTAAATTCTTTAATGTCCGAGGGGTCTCTGTACGTCCAGAGGCACAATCACTGCTGTTGGTACTTTAACGCTGGATTTACTAATTGTATAAATAGATTAAACAATATTGCTCTGAAAGTCTGAACGCTCCTTACACAACTAAAAAAAATTAAAACTTACGAATTTAACAAATATAACATTTTCCAGACATTTAAATATTAATTTATAAGCTAATTGAATTTCTTCTAAAATAATGAGTATCCTATATCGGAATCTTTTAAATGCTACAAATGCCTTTAAAAGCAGAAACATACATGTGAACATCACAATGATTGCAACACTTACTATTATATTTAAACTTAAACGTTATAAAGTACTTATATACTTAACTTTATTTCTCGTCTATCACTATACTTACTCTTATGAGTATTCTTATACTCTCCTGAGGATAGAGTATGTTTAAAAATGCATATGTCTTTACCTTCCTGGTGATATAGTAATTTTGTCAAACTCAAAAGCAAAAAAAAAAAATCATCTCTGAGTAGCTCAGGTTGGAAGTGCTGGGTTTTGAAATTTCTTACAAACATACAAATTCTTCCCATGTACTTAAAATTCTAGCAGATCTAATCAATTAAACTTAAAAACACAAGGATACATTTTGGTACCTGAAAGTGGAGTATTGCTATAACAAATACCTAAAACAAGTGGGATTGACTTTGAAACTGCTTAGAGGCTAGAAGAATTTTGAGGAGCGTGATAGAGAAAGCCTAATTTGCCTTGAAACTGCTTAGAGGCTAGAAGAATTTTGAGGAGCACGATAGAGAAAGCCTAATTTGCCTTGAACAGACTGTTAGTGAAAATTCAAACTTGGAGGATGCTGCCAGTGAGGGCTCAAAGGGAAGTAAGAAATGTGGAAACTGGAGGAAGAGATTTCCTTGTTAGGTAGTCACAGAAAGCTTAGCAAAATTGTCTCCTGAAATGATATGGAAAGCAGAACAGGTAAGTGATGAACTTGTTTATCTAGCTAAGATTTCCAAGCAAAATGTTGAAGGTGCCACCTGGTTTTTTCTTGCTACATATAGTAAAATGCGAGAGGAGAAAGAAAAAATGAGGGGAAGAACTGTTAAACAAAAAGGAACTGGGACTTGATGATTTTGAAAATTCTCAGTCTCTCCAAATGGCAAAAGATGTTAAAAGTAAGAAATGACTTTCAAGCATGTGGCATAGAGATAAACCCTGGCCTAGGAGAATGCCAAGTGGTTATTGTAGTAGGTTTTGTTAAAACCTCAGGAAGATCTAAGGATCGGAATAGTATCCAGTCACGTGATGGACCCTCTCTAGAGATAAAAGGTGTGCCTCATACAACTTCTCAAATAATAAGGCCTGTCTGAGTTGTTCCTTAACCATCTCAACATCTTTACCCTAGCTAAAGGAGTGCCTGTCTCAAAAGAACTGTGGTTGTTACTCACATGTAAGGGAAATTGACAGGAGACCCACAAAGTATTTAAGAAATTAATTTTGGCAAAAGCACTGCCAACTTAAACGGAAAGGGACAGAAACAGTACAAAATAAAGGAGGCTGTTAGATCTCCAAACTACTGGCAGGAAGCAGGATGATAAAAGTACTCAGCTGCGGGGCTTCCCTGGTGGCCCAGTGGTTGAGAGTCCGCCTGCCAATGCAGCGGACGCGGGTTCGTGCTCCAGTCTGGGAAGATCCCACATGCCATGGAGCGGCTGGGCCCGTGAGCCATGGCCGCTGAGCCTGCGCGTGCGGAGCCTGTGCTCCACAACAGGAGAGGCCACAACAGTGAGAGGCCCGCATACCGGAAAAAAAAAAAAAAAAAGTACTCAGCTACAAATGTGCTACCTTTCATGAAAAAGGTAACATGACTCAGAGGGCAGAACCAAGAGTTACTGTGGATTATTCCCAGGCCCTAGAATTTAATTGAGGAACTCTGGTAAGAGTTTGCTAGGCTGAATTTCAAAATTTCTTTGAATTGGTAACTCCTTTTCACCTTTCATATATCCCGTCCCATTTTATTGTATTAGATGGAAGACTGGCTCATTGATTGCCAAAGTATCTTCCAGTTTTTTTGTTTGTTGTTTTTTTTTTTGCGGCACGCGGGCCTCTCACTGCTGTGGCCTCACCCGTTGTGGAGCACAGGCTCCGGACGCGCAGGCTCAGCGGCCATAGCTCACGGGCCCAGCCACTCCGTGGCATGTGGGATCCTCCCGGATTGGGGCACGAACCCGTGTCCCCTGCATCGGCAGGCGGACTCTCAACCACTGCACCACCCGGGAAGCCCCCCTGTCCCATTTTAAATAGAATGTCTATAACTATTTTACATACCTGTTCCTCTACTGTGTGTTGGATGGTTGGGTGTCAGATAGCTTGTCTAGTTTTGTAGACTGAGAGTAACTATACTTAAGGAGACTCATTCCTACCTGGACCTGATTTAGATGATGAGATTCTAGACTTTGAGCAGATGCTATAAAGGTATGAGATTCTTGGGGAAATTGGGAGGGAGTAAATGTATCTTTCATGTGGGAGGGACACAAATCACTGGGGACCAGAGGGTAGACTGTGGTGGACAGACTCTAGGGTAGCCCTTACATTCCCTACCTCCTGAGTGTGATTCCTCCTGAGTGTGAATGGGACCTGTGAAATGCTTCTAACTGGTAGAATTTGGCAAAGGCAGTTGGATATGTGTGATTATGTGCACATGATTATATTACATAAAACTGCAATTCGTCTTGCTAGGAGACCTCCCCTCCTTTGCCGGCTTTGAAGGAGCAAACTGCCTTGTCCTGAGCTACCATATCAGCAAGGAGCTGAAGGCAGCCTCCAACTGATGTCAGCAAGAAAATAAGGTCCTCAGTCGACAACCTGCAAGAAACTGAATACTCCAACAGCTGTATGAGCTTGGAGGCGCATCTGACCCCAGTCAAACTTTTGAAGTCCACAGGCAGGTAAGCAGAAAGGGAAGGTCACGAGCAGGCTGGTATCCCATGAACATGAGCCAGAATTCCACAGACAGGTTGAAACTCATATTTGTTCTTGTTGTCTTTGAACTTGTTGACAAGGGTGTCCTACAGAAGCTGGAGTCCTTCCTCATGGGGCTAAACACATACACCTGGCCCAGGAGTCGGACAAACTGAAAGGGAATCCAGGGAAGGAGAGCGATTGCAAGCCCAGATGCTGCTTCACACCAGTGAGGTGAGTAAGCAGATCAGAAACAAGGTGTGTCAGCTCCAAAATGACTTATACAGGTACCAAAATGTAACATCATATAAACTTATACAGGCTTAAATATTTCTAAACTGTTAACAATGTTGCAACAACTCTCTTTTACATTTAACCTTAAAATCCCAAGTCTAATTTGCACTTTCAAAAGTTCACCATGGTTGTTGAGTGGAGTATTCTCTTAATTGGTTGTATAACATTGTGTTTATACATTTATCAGATAACAGATATTTGGGTTGTTTTCAGTTTTTGAATGTTATAAATAATGCTACTGTAAACATTTACGTACAAGTCTTCGTGCAGACATATGTTTCTTTTTGTTCTTTTGTTTTTTATTTAACATCTTTATTGGAGTATAATTGCTTTACAATGTTGTGTTTGTTTCTGCTGTATAACAAAGTGAATCAGCTATACGTATACATATATCCCCATATCTCCTCCCTCTTGCATCTCCCTCCCTCCCACCCTCCCTATTCCACCCCTCTAGGTGGTCACAAAGCACCGAGCTGATCTCTCTGAGCTATGCAGCTGCTTCCCACTAACTATATATTTTACGTTTGGTAGTGTATATATGTCCATGCCACTCTCTCACTTCATCCCAACTTCCCCTTCCCCCTCCCCGTGTCCTCAAGTCCATTCTCTATGCGTCTTTATTCCTGTCCTGCCCCTACATTCATCAGAACCATTTTTTTTTGTTTTTTTTTTAGATTCCATATATATGTGTTAGCATACGGTATTTGTTTTTCTCTTTCTGACTTACTTCACTCTGTGTGACAGACTCTAGGCCCATCCACCTCACTACAAGTAGCTCAATTTCGTTTCTTTTTGTGGCTAATATTCCATTGTATATATGTGCCACATCTTCTTTATCCATTCATCTAGACATATGTTTTTATTTCTCTTGGGTAGATTCCTAGGAGTGGAACCACTAGGTTGTATGGTAAATATATGTCTAGCTTTTAAAGAAACCGTCAAACTGTCATCTACTGTGGTCGAACTATTTTACATTCTTATCAACAATGTATGAAGATTCCAGTTCTTCCACATCCTCACAAACATTTGGTGTTGTCTCTCTTTTACATTCTAGCTGTTCCAGGAGGTATATAGTAGAATCTCATTGTAGTTTTAATTTGCATTTCCCTAATGACTAATGATTGGGGCATCTTTCCACATGCTTTTTAGACATTTGTGTACCATCTTTAGTGAAATATCTATTTAAGTCTTTTGCCCGTTTTTAAATTGGGTGGTCTTATTAATGAGTTGTAAGAGTTTTTTAATTTCTTCTATATACAAGTCCTTTATAAGATCTATAATTCTGTATATTTTCTCCCAGTCTGTAGCTTATTTTAAAAAATTTTTGCTTAGTGATCTTTTAGAGTGCAAAAGTTTAATTTTAATGAAGTCCAATTCATCATTTTTTCTTTTAAGTGTCACGGTTTTGTTGTCATATCTAAGGACTCTTTGTTCAACCCAAAGTTACCAAGATTTTCTCCTATTTTTCCTAGAAGTTTTATTGTTTTAGCTCTTATATTTAGGCCTGTGATACACTCAAGTTCTTTTCTTATATATGATGTGAGACAAGGGCCTAAGTTTATGTTTTTGTACGTAGGGGATATGCAATAGTCACCATTTGCTGAAAAAAGACTAATTCATTCCCCCGTTGAATTATTTTGGCACCTTTATCAAAAATCAGTTGACCATAATGCAAGTGTTTATATCTAGACTCTCAAACTTCATTCATTGATCTATATGTATTTCTTGCACCAATACCACACTGTATTGAGTCACGTGGCTTTATAGTAAATTTTGAAATCAGGTAATATAAGTCTTCTAACTTTGTTCTTCTACTGCAAAATTATTTTGATTATAATAATAAATTATTATTTTGCATTTCCATATAATTTTTAGGATCAGTGTGTCAATTTCTATCAAAAAAAAGAAAGCCTGCTGGGATTTTGATAGGGATTGTGCTGAATATACAGATCAATTTGGGGAGAATTTGCATCTTGACGATATTGAGTCTTCCTATCCGTAAATAGAGATTGTTTCTTTGTTTATTTGAATCTTCATTAGTTTCTCTTAGTAATATTTTATAATTTTTAGTGTATAAGTCTTGCACTTCTTTTATTAAATTGATTCCTAAATATTTTATTCTGTTTATGCTTTGTGAGTAGAATTAAAACTTTTTTTATTTTCGGATTTGTCATTGCTAGTATAGAAATACAATTGATTTTTAAATATTGATCTTGTATCCTACAGTATTGCTAAACTCATTATTAGTTCTAGTCATCTTGTATGTGGATTCCTTGGGATTTTCTGTGCACAAGGTGATATCATGTATGAATATAAGCAGTTCTACTTCTCTCTTTACCCTCAGTCTACTTTTTTTTTTTTGCGGTACGCGGGCATCTCACTGTTGTGGCCTCTCCCGTTGCGGAGCACAGGCTCCGGACGCGCAGGCTCAGCGGCCATGGCTCACGGGCCCAGCCGCTCCACGGCATGTGGGATCTTCCCGGACCGGGGCACGAACCCGCATCCCCTGCATTGGCAGGCGGACTCTCAGCCACTGCACCACCAGGGAAGCCCTTCCTCAGTCTACTTTTAATGAGCTATTATATTTTCTTGTCTACACTGGTCAGACCCTGCCTTGGCTCATAGTATTTATTCTTGGCCATCACGTGTTCCTTGGGGAAACAAACAAAACAAATTAAAAAGATAAAATAATGATCACTGTAATCCCTACACTCAGGCAACCTTTATGAACACGTGGGGTGGAGTCTTCCAGACATTTTTGTTAGAAGTATCATAGCAGAGCTTGTGATGTTCTGAGCCGCATCCTTCAGCCACCAGATTTCAGGGTAGCTGTGGTGAACATGGCCATGCACTTTGCCAGTGTCCATCCAGGCTCACGTCACAGTGTCTCTCCCCTGGGCTGTTTAGGAGTCTGCAAAGTCTGCTCAGCTATATATAGGCACAACCCATACTTTAAGGCAAGTAATACCCCTGGGTTGGGGGCAGCTCTAAACCAATGAGAGCAGGATTTCATAAATAAATGCCCCAGCCTTCTCATCCCGCAGGACATAGAATGTGGACAGTTCTAAGGTGCCTTCTACATATTCCTCAGAGCCCCTATGGGATTGAACCCCAGTTGCCCAGAGCTGTAGCCCACTCATTTGTTGACTTTTCTCCCTTCCCCATTTGCCCAACTTCTGTTTCCTAAGATAACTACCCCCCCCCCAAATTATCTGCATGCAAGTCCTATCTCAGGGTCTGTTTTCAGGGAAACCTAATTAAGGCAGGCAGCATATTTGGTCCCTTGACAAACTGAGGTATGTCTATGGAACAGCCATCCAGAGAGTGAAGGGGCTGGTAATGACACGACATAAAAACAATGAAAATAGCTGAGGAAACTGGGAGAAGAGAAAACTTACAGAAATAATTATAGTCATTTTAAAATTCCTGGAAGGCATTCATGTAGAAGAGGACCAGGGGAGATACGAGCATTAATTCTAGGTTGTGTATCAGATATTAGGCAGTGTGCCAACACATGTATTATCTTATTCCATCTTACAACAATCCAGGGAGGTAATTACTATCTTTATCTTTCAAATGAGTAAACTGAGATACAAAGAGGTGAAGCCATTTGCTCAAGGTCCAAAACTAGCAAGTATTTGAACTGAGATTCAAATCCACACCTACTTGTGCCCCAGCTTGTGTCTTCCTGCTGTCCTGTGCCTGTTGCACTGACGGGCAAGACTGGGACCAACAGGCAGACATTCTGAGTCTGCAGAATTGTCTTTATACGAATGCAGAGCATAACAGAGATTGTTTAGATGTTCACTGATGCTATTTTCTCTTCCTGGATGCAGAAGAACATTTCATGTTCCAGCTTCCTTTACAATTAGATTGGGGCCGTGTGCCAGGGTTCTGGCAAATGGGAATGTGCAGATGTGATGCACCTGATGTTCTCTCTCTCTCTCTCTTTCTTTTTTTCCTCTTAGCTAGCTGAAAACAGAGAACTCAGTAGAGGATTCTGGGAAGGTCCTGGGCGATGGCAGAGCTACCAGATAGAAGGTATATGGATCCACAGGGCATGGGGTGGGATAGAGCACCGGATGTGTTCACACTAGACTGGGACATGAGCAATAAGTGAACATACGTTGGATTAAGCCACTGAGATTTGGGGGTTGTTATACACCTGGGATTCCCTAAGAAGCCCTGAGCTTCCTGTCTCAGAAAGCACACAAGCAGTGACCAGATGTTCAACTGCCAAGGCTGTTGTAAAAGGGATTTTTGGGAGAGTGGACCAGATGACCTGTAAAAATGATAGCTCATGTTTATTGATCTGTTGTAGATCAGGCATGTACACGCATTCTCTCATTTAAGTCTACAGTGTACTTCATCATGCTCATTTAATACATGAGGAAAGCAAGGCACAGAGAAGTTAGGTAACTTGCCCAAGGTCACACAGCAAGTAAGAGGTAGAACCAGACACCCTTCTTACCCCTTCCAGGTACTTGACTCTTAATCAGTACTCCCCACCATCTCTAAAGCCAAAGTTATGGTTTAAAGGCTTGCAGACTGGATCATTTTTGTCCGTGCAGGAATGTTTTGTTTTGTTTTTATTTTAAAATTTCAGACTATGCTTAAAAATAAAAAGATTTCACATAGAAATCCAGTTTTCCAGTTTCTCTTGAAAATCCAGAAATTCTGGCAAATCTGGCTCATAGGCCATGATAGCAACAGGCAGCTAGAGCTGAGGAGTCGCGCCCCCTTTAGGTGGGCCATCAGCTTGTCTCCTCATCAGGCTCCAGGAGCTTTTGATTTAGTGAACCCTGAAAGGTTCCATCCAAAGCTAAGTTCTCCCCAGGAACAGTGTTGGGCATATAACAGGAACTCAACAAGTGTGTAGGAAATGAATGAATAAAAGCAGAACTCAGATTCTGCCACCCGCTCCCTCTTCTTCTTCCAGC